CACGGGGAAAGCGCTTCCCTGGCATGCAGGCCAAGCCTGGGCAGGAGCTGCCCGCCTTGCCTTAAGCTGCCGAAGTTGACTGCTTTTCAGGCAAGCGGGAATGACTCGGAAATCGGCCTGGGTGCGATTAAACCCCACCTTCTTTAGTCTTGTAAAGCCTAAAAGCTTGTCTGCCCAGTGTAACTCCAGCAAGTCGTTGGTGGTGTTCAGCTCTAGTAATACAGGAGAGGCAACAACAACTGTTCCTTGTAGAAGAAACGTAATTGTTGAAGATGGACTTGAGCATCTAAGAAAGAACCTATTTTTCAGTCACATTTTACTTAAGCTTGCATGGAATGAACAGGCTCTTGTGTAAGAATTTGGTTTGTACCAGTGATGCTGCAGCTTTCTTTGTGTCCTGTCCCATTAACTTAAGCAGTGGCACCCTTTTTTTCTCAATGATTTTGATTGTGCTGGCTTGGGCTGTGGAAAAATGGACACACTTCTAGCAAACACTAGTATTTTAAAGAACCCTTTGGTATGGAAGCACCTATTTTTATTGCCTCACTTTGTCAGATTATATACAAAAATTGCATTAAATACTTCTGCCTGCCACTGGTCTTTTGCTGTTGAGTGGACAGATGCAATGTGTATATGTATTATAGTAGCACAAATTGGTTTTGCACTGTAATTTTGGATTTTTTTGGCCAGTTACGTAAATCCATGTGAGACATGACACCTGTGTGGCATACCTTACACATTTTACTAGTGCAAATTTACCTAATATAGGCAAAACCTTAAACTAGATTGTGGATTTTACTGCTTGATTTCTTTCATCCTCTAGAGATTTTTGTCATCGCAGATTGATTGCAATGTTGATTTCAACTGAATCTCTGTCTTCTGTGAAGCTGAGTGTTCAATTTGTAGAATCCATTTCAGTGTTTGTACACTCATTAGAATTGCTGAGATACTTAGTAATTTGCAGCAGCCATATGTTTCTATTGCTATTTAAAATTTTACTGCTGCGTTACACATTGGGTTTAATTAGAAGTGTGTATATGTGTGGTATTTATACTTACACCGTGTACTGCTTTTCGGTTACAAATGAGGTACACTTTTGCATCTGTTTTTTCTTTTTTAAAAATTTGATATAATGCTATATGTTCTTTTTATATCTACTTAGGATTCTGTAATGCTTTGTCTGGCTCAATTATTTTCTTTCTAAAGTAAATATTTGTGGTATTTTTTGGTCTCCTTTGCTAGGAAGGCTTCTGAGGCCTTTGATCTTTTGGCCTGTATTTGACCATAGTCTTTTTCAGCTCTCTCCTTGAGGTGTTGTGGTCAGAATTGAATGGGATATTCCAGCTGAGTGTATGTTGGTGATACAGCTGTTGATATGTGGACTGCTTCTGTGTCTTCTACTCTGTTCTCTGTAATTTCTATAGTTTTTTAATGATTAGTTTTTTATGTTCAGTGCAAGCTGAGCCATTTTCACCAAGGTTTCTTTTTATTATTCTAGAAATTAAACTGGTATTGAGTGTATAAGTGGTTCAAGTTCACTGACAAGACTGGTTCACTGACAAGACTTACCTTGATTTCACTTGCTACTAGCTGTGAATGGTAACTATACACAGAAGTCATCTTGGAGTTCTCCTTGACACTCTCCGAGCATTGGCCAACTACAAAAAGTGTTCCTTCCTTGAAAAAAAAATATAGTTTTTCTCTAGACCTTTGATAGATTAATTAGTCCTAGTATGGAATGAGGAGATGATGTGTTCTTTTCAACATGGTCAAAAAGTAGACAATATGCTCTTTTCTTAAAGATAAATAATCAAAGCAAGCCTAGAATATGTTTTTTTTATCCTATGGTACTTAATTTCCGAAGTAGCTCCCTGAGTTTTTCATTAAACTTCTCATACACTTGTGCCAGCCCTTTTATCTGCTGCTTTTGGTTGGCATTTTTTTTTGAAAATTACAGTGGATTATAGATCATAGAATCATAGAGTGGCCCAGGCTGGAAGGGACCTTAGAGATTATTTTAGTCCAGCCTCCCTGTCGCCAGGTATGCCACCATTAAGTTTACTCTGATTTTCTAGTTCTGTGTTGAAGGATAAATGGACCTTTCATGCCCCAAATTCTGAGCCTTTTATAGGTGGGTAGAGCAAGAGGCTCATGAAGAGTCTCCTTCTCTGGAGACATTCAAAACCCACCTGGACGCCTTCCTGTGTAACATCATCTAGGTGTTCCTGCTCTGGCAGGGGGATTGGACTAGATGACCTTTTGAGGTCCCTTCCAGTCCCTAGCATACTGTGATACTGTGACTAGAGGGAAAGTCTTACAAGGAGAGGCTGAGGGATCTGGGGTTGTTTAGCCTGGAGAAAAGGAGACTCGGGGGGGGGGACCTTATCACTCTCTACAACTGCCTGAAGGGAAGTTGTAGTGAGGTGGTGGCCAGGCTTTTCTCCCAGGCAACTAGTGACAGGACAAGAGGGCACAGCTTGAAACTTTGTCAGGGCAGGTTTAGGTTGGATCTCAGGAAGCACTTCCTGAGAGGGTGCTCAGGCACTGGGGTGCACTGCCCAGGAAAGTGGTGGAGTCACCGTCCCTGGAGGTGTTTAAGGAAAGACTGGATGTGGCACTTAGTGCCCTGGTCTGGCCCGTGTGGTGGTGTTGGGTCATGGGCTGGACTTAATGATCTCGGAGGTCTTTTCTAGCCTCAATAATTTTGTGATTCTGTGCGCTTCTGTGGATACAGTGTTTCTGATGTCCCAGGTATGTGGTCCATAAATGGATACCGTAGTAGCTGGTAGCTACTTTTTTTCTCTCAGTCTTTTAAAACAGCAAACAATACATGTTATTTGTGAAACTGCCTTGTGTATGCAATAACATTTTTAAACATACTTCATTACTTTTATAATGCATTTCCTTATTACTTATTGAAAATTACAAATTTTAGTTTCAAGATCTACATAATAAGTTTTTTCAGAGGAGTGAGGGAGGATAATTCACTTTCTTTTTGTCTTTCCTGATAACCGATTCCTGATACTTTTTTTTTTTTTAGTGGGGAAAGTACATGGCTGTCTTTAAGTAACTGTATAACTTTCTTGCCTTTTGGCTGAAACAATTTTGCATATTCAAAGGGAATTGTGAATTGTTTCTGCCTTGCTGGCCTTGAGTTGAAAGGTAGATGGCTGTGAGGAGAGACCAGAGAAGAAAGCTGAGAAGTCGATAGATACAGAGGAGAAATGCTGACCCTAAGTTGTTTGAGCAGAGATTGTAACTGAACTTTGATTAAGACTATTGAGAGGTCAAACAAATATGAAGAGAAGTGCCTTGGATAAAGGCTTTTGGAACTGTAGAAGACTGAGTTTGAACTTTGAGGGCAGCCTTCCAAAGGAGATGCAAAAGGAGGAGGTGTGAAGCATGGCAGGTCTTGAAAATTTTCAGCCTTCCTAATGAGTAGAGTATTAAATATTAAAAATCTATTATTGTAATTAAGTATTTTTTGTGTATGTAAGTAATACTTAACTGCACTTCTGGAATACTAGAGATATATAATTTCTTAAAACCTTGTGTAAAAGCTACCCTTTGAATTATAACATTAATTTCTTAGAAGTTGCGCAGACTAATCTTACTGTTTCTGATTCATAGATTTTGAAGATGATGATGTGTATGGCCAATCAGTAGAAGATGATTATTGCATTTCTCCTTCAACAGGTTAGTTCAAATGTTAACGTATAAGCATTGTCTGTTGAGTTCTACTCTGATATTTATTTCCGGAATAAAACTATTAGAAAGCTACTGAAACTTCTGAGAAGTGCCTAGTGGCCATAATCCTGGTAAAGTCAGTCAGATAGCGTAGTACTTCTGGAAGTCACTTTAGAGAATTGGGCACATCCTCAGTCATATATTGCCTCAATGCTCAGAATGTAGTTGATAGTGTAAAAATCTGGTTTATGGGAATGAGTTGTTAGTCTTGAGACATTTGATATCTTTAAAAACTGTTAGTAGAATCTGTCTGGGATTAACAGTTGTGATTCTGCACGTGCTAGTTGATGTCTTTTACACAACTTTGAGTATGTGTCGGGTAGGGAGTCTTACTGTGGGATACAGCACAGTTCATCACTGGCTACTGTTCTCATGCAAGATAATGTGGAGCAAATAAGCCTGCTGGCATTTTCGAATTTGTAAAGCAGGCATAAAAATAGCAATGCCCTGTGCTCAAGTGAGACATAATTGGAGCAGCTCAGCCCAGCTGAATTCAACCAGACTGTGGAACCATTAGGTCGTGTTCTCCAGTCAAATCTCTGGCAAGATCATTAGTTCAAGGTTTCCCTAGATCTGGTGGTTGTGTTTCTAGAGCTGAATAGACCCTGAAAATAGTGTGGCTGATACTGATGTTGAGCTGTACTACTGCAGGTAACTAGACTGGAACCAAATCCACTGTGACTGTGATGTAGTCTGTGACCTCTGGCCACAGGTAATTAGGTCTTTAAAAATCTGTTCCTCTTGTCATCCTGATGATTTTAGATAAGTGAATCTAGGTGTGGTTTTTTTATTACTTGTAGTCACATTCCCTGATTTAAATTTAAATTGTCTTGAGTTCAATTTCTGAGTTTAATTGCTAAATTCTTTCAGACTTGTTCCAAGAATTAAGGTATTTTGTGATGCAATATTTTTACTTGTTAATCACGTATAAACTGCTAAATTGCAAAGGTAATTCTTGTTTGTGTGCATTAATTTTCCTAAGAACTCTTTTTATGTAAGCTACATTTACAGTCTGATCTAGATTGTGTAGCAGTCTTAATAGTTGCGTCAGTTACGTTTATTGAATATGAAATGGTATACATTTGGGAAATAGTTGCTAAGGTTATACTACTTCTAGGCATACCTGTGTTTTCAGTATGTATTTCAGAGCTGGGGAAGATATTGCATAACATAAGGAAATTTGTTTACATTATAGTTTGTAGATTTCTTAAGAGTATATAATGACT